TATTGGTTTACTCTTAGCTAGGCTTCATGATGGAAACGTCGGACTCCTTCTCAGCTTGGGAAACCTTTTCGGGTGCACGACTCCCTCCGCTGTACATCGCAGTCCGGCATCCAGAAACACCTCTTAGACACTATGAGCCGATGAACCGTTGGAAGAAAATTGTCACAATGTTATATAATTGGTAAAAATAAACTTAGGTGCTTAGAAGTATTTGAATTCAAAAGGAATTTTTCCAACGTGGAAAGAGATGCACTCTGAGAGGGACTGTGCGCTCTACATTTCTAAAACAATGATGTATAATTGGTTCACAGACTTTGGGACGACTGACCTCGGAGCTCCAGTGAACCGCAGTAGCTAAAAACTAGTAAAAATTCGAAAAGTGGAGTTTATGCTGAAGCCCACAATCAATGAGGACATGCTATCCAAGTATAATTGGTTCAACGAGGCGGGTAGCGCACTGGTATGATGCCGTTCATTACGAGCACAGTGACGGTGCGATCCCGTTCCGGGTTCACCAAGGCCGTCTTCGCGGAGTCGAGAAATTGGTATCGGGCTTGTCTCGCTCTTGCTCGTCTATTTTAGAGCAGCAGTGGAAATTGACTCGACCAGCATTCAAAATATTCATGATGAATGGAATTTACTCAAGTAGTAGCCGAAGAATCTAGAACGAAAATGGCTTGTATCCGAGCAGTAGATGTGAAGGACGGGCCGTATGGAAAAAACAATTTAGACAATTTTCATTCTAGCCACTGAGTACAACAATGGATCTGAGATTTTTCAGCTTACTAAAATATAGCGAGAATGCTAGGGAGCACACTGGCATTTATTGCGACCATTATGAGCACGATCCGGCCTCGACCCAGCCCCGGGCCCATCAAACTTCCCATCACCCCATGGTCGACGAGTTGGTACCAGATTTTTTTGGATGAAACCCACACCCTCCGATCCATTTTAGGACACGCTAGCATGGTTGTCTAAAATTTGGAGAAAGAATCAGTTTGACTAGAATTTCAGCTACATTAATGCCAAAGGTGAAAAAATCATCAAACAAGCTGAAACCAAAGAGGAAAAAGTTGAAAAACCGTCGTGGATTGTGAGCGCGAGGAAACAAAGCGAATGGAACAATTGCTGGGACCCTCAAGTATGACGCATGTGATGCCGGACCATGTTGTTATTAAAAAATAACTAAATAATATTGACAGTGGTTTAGGCGACAACAGTGGTTTCATTCATCCCTGATAGAGAAGTGCACATTCCATATCGCATGGGGCCACATAATATTGCCAACACTGTTTAACTCTTTAAACGCAGCATTTGCAAAGTTTGAAGCACGTGGTATTTCAATTATTATTTACAGCTTATACTTGTTTCATAAGAGACTATAGGTTTAGGTTGTGCTCCTTAGATCATTGTTTGGCGAATGATAACTGCCGGAGGCAGCGATTGAGTAAAAACATGGCTGAAAGAAAGGTAAAGCAAAGACTCGGTTGGCGTGGTGGATAACACTTGAGCAATCAATCGCTAATGCTAATCACTGGTTCAAAGTCGATCTTTTCGTCTCCTGGGTTTCGCCATAGTTTTTCCCATAACGAGTTTGCCCTACATGAGAATGGAGTTATTTTTCATCTAGTTATCCATGTAAGCATTAAACAGCACCAAAAATAACTTCATTCTGATTTCTGTTAAAATGTTATTCTACTTTGCGAAAATTCTTGTCGACTGCTATCTAGCGAGACAGGACTTGAAATATCTCGGGACTCTGTATAAAGGATTTTTTGTTCGGCAAACAAACCATTGATCAAATAAGAATTATTCTAAGGTCTGACAATTTTTTTTGAAAACTGGCCATTGAAGCAAGTAAGTTCAAGTTTTTGAGCACTGGTGAAAATCTATCGAAGATCTCAAATTTCATCCGCTTTTGCTCCAAGTATTACCCTCGTGAAGATTGGAATCGAATGTGGTATGGTCTAATAGTGAACGTCACATCAGTGCTTGCAGTGCTCATTGCTTACATCGAAGTGTTGTAATGTAATTAAACATACATATTATTGTGAAATCCTGCAACGACTAGATAGAAGGAGTAGAGAGAATAGAGAGTTTCCAGGATATATTTCAGCCAACTTCTGTTTTATTCGATAAAATAGCAGGAAGGAGATTGTTGATAAAACACTTATTCCATAATCAATAAGGCCTCTTTAGAGCTTGGAAGGAATAATATTAACATGTAGCATCCTCCAACAAACAGTCGTAGTACAGAATGCTCGAGTAACCGCAAACGATAGATGATTCCTAGTTTGCATAGGAATGATGTTGTGCAACGCCGCTATAAGCGCCCTCTATTCGATTCGTTAATCATGAAACCATAGTAAATTGTCAAGTGTTCGCCCATGAGCTTTTTTTCTCCTGAGTACTTTCTTAGACTACTTGCTTTCGAATACCTATAATTTCTCACGACCTTCTATTAACCTCGGTATTGACCAAGTAATTCTTCGCATTTTTGTTGAGCAAACGCGAGGTGTTATTTTATTCTTCAGTCACGAATAAGCTGACGTTTCGGCGGATTTCGCCTTCCTGAGAGCCTGGAAAGGTCAAGTTGACAGCAATCTATTTGGCCAGACACCTCCATAACCAAACTGTTTGGTTATGGTGTTTGGCCGAATAGATTGCTGTCAACTTGACCTTTCCAGGCTCTGAGGAAGGCGAAATTCGCCGAAACGTCAGCTTGTACCTAAATAAAGAAATAAAATAACACCTTGTGTTTGCTGACCAGAAGTAGAAAGGAGTATACGTTTACTTCCATACAATAACGCACATGAAACACAACCGTAGCTGACGTTTCGGCAGTATCGCCTTCTTCAGAGCAGTATTTGCAACACTAGAAACGTTATTCCAAACAAAGATCATTTCAAATGGAGATTTGTTAAAAGAAGCAGTACATCAATAAGTGGCGAGTGGCACAACGTCACACTTCAATCACAGCGCAGTCTCTGCCGTCAGTTCATGGTGCTGTTCGAAGAGACCCAGCAACTCAACGCGATTTCGCAACTCAACCCGACAATTCATATTTGACAATTCAAATTAGTTCATCAATTTGGTGTCTCATTTCGCGACTCAACACCATCTTAACCTATAACTCTCGATATTATCATAAGAGGATGATATGTACACTATAGGACCCATTTCCTGTTTAGTACTTTTCAGAATTTTTTTTACCGCGCCATGTATATTAATTAGAAAGAGCGCAGATAAGAACAGTAGGGTTGGAAACATAAAACCATCCTCTACACTGGACGATCTACGAAAAACCTTCTTTGGAAAGAACTCATTGGGCGGCAAATTGAGTGAAATTTAATGAATATTAATTGTTATCTCATTTTAATCATTGTGTTCATTGTATGGAGTGTGCGAATGCAAAGAGAACCGAAACATACTCATCATAATGTGCACAATACCTTCAAGTGTTGGCAGTAATGTATTATATTTTCTTTAAGAACCATAGCGACACATAAAAAGTAGTAGAGAACAGATCATTCGTACCTTCTACCACTCTGTTATCTTCAAAACCCGTAAGGCACTCTAGTTACCAAAAAATTAATTTTTCATGGTCATAGGACCAGAAAGTTTACAGCCGTTGAAAAACTGCTCGTATTCTAGTCTACACGGAGAGCCAGACTAAACGACTCGTGTTCGCTATGGGTTAACCAGGTTGACCACTTGTTGATTATTACAAGTTTAAATTCATACGAAAACCCAACGTATCATGTCACATAAACCGATCAGTAGTACTCGCTCTCGCCTCTCAAGCTATCTTGAAACCTTGATATACGCTTCAAAAACAACTGTCCAGAATCTCAGCTCTAAATTTGACGATTAAGACATGTTGTCAGCTAAATCTCGTCACGATGTTACGTTATAAAGTTTCGTTAGCTATTTTCTTCTTGTCCACTACTTTGGAATAGAGCGTTGAACATGAAACATCAAAAGATGAAATTTAACTTGATGAGTTTTGTTGCACAAAATTAGAAAGCTAGACAGACGTTTACCAATGGACAGAAAGGATTTTTAGATGAGTTCTTCGATAACTTTAAGCGCAATAATTACGACCACTTGCCATGTGAAACTTCTTCGGAAGTAGATAACTGGTGCTTAGTTGATCCACCATCCACTGATGATGCAAAAATTTTATAATGAACGCACAAGTTCTCATGGCAAACTCCACTGGGGAGACAATTATGCAACGTCAGTTAAATTGCATCATCAGTCTAGATCACTTCATGGACATTAACTTAATGAGAAAGAGTGTATAGAAAATATTCTCTACACTATGGAAGACATTTTACATCTATTAATAGTGTCTTTGTGTGTTGATTGCAATTGTTTACTACGATTTCCTTTCACAGATCGATTGCACCGTATTCATCATGGACAGTGAAAATTTCAGAACATTCTATCGTTCACTGCCAATTAATGAACAACGTATAAAACTTAAAATTGACTTATCAACCACTCCTCTTAGCATATGGCAGCGCTCTGCCCTACCTGGCTCTTCTTATATAGCAATGTTATGTAGTGCTTGTTGTTCGCGATAACACTACTTTAATACACTGAAAGAGTACCTTTCTGTCATTAATAATATTCCGCCTTATTGCTTAAATATTCATTATATGGATTTCGCTATTGTGATTGTGCTTCCATGTGCATTTTCTGGCATTACCATGCCGCTGCGGTTGTACTAATATCATTCACACAAAGGTTTAATTGCCCAGGTTTGTGGATTAGCGTGGCTGCTGCTCAACTTCGGTCACAACACTCAATTCAATAAATGTCAAATATGGCTGTACACCTAGTACCAAAGCGCACCTTGCAACGTTCGGAGGAACCAATAACAATTGCATTTTCTCGACGAAATACGAATGCGTCTTACTTGACAATTCACACATTAGTAGAAGAAACTATTCAATCAATTGAATGATTTAGTGACTCGGATCTTTCCATTTGATTTAAATTTCAAAACCGCCCCCTAGAAATTATTCAAACGACATCAAGAGATGCAATTAGGCATATTTCTCGTTGGCTACTGTGATAAACGATCAATTAAATTCACAATTCATACAGTAAAAAACATCATTGAGATAATAGCAGCATATAGTGAGCCACAACTGAACGATGTCTCCGTATGATTGCAGAGATCACCTTCGCAGAAACACTGTTGCACCTTGATGCTGCAAGAAACCACTCCTTATTAAGCGAATCGAAATATTTTCCATTTTACCCAACTAAATGAGTCACAATGCCCTTTAAGATCTTATAGGGAAATGCTAGACGAAGAGTTAAGAAAACCATTTCATTCGAGTGTGGACCAGCCACAGCAAAATAAAAACTGGATGTTACTTCAGAAAAAAAACTGAAAGCACCAATACAAAATAAATGTAACTAGGTTTATTTGTCCATGGTATGCCGGTTTTATTCTTCAGAAAAAGTATTTTTCTTTATTTAATAAGGAGGAGCGAAATAGAATAACCGCAAGGTGTGCGCTGTTTTCGTGATGATCAAAAGTGAACGTGGAATATTTACTGATTTTTGCGTAACAGAAATGAGAAACCCACCCACGTAAATCGATCTCAGTACAGCCAACCGTCCGATCATCATTCTTTGCTGCACAGCGTTTTTCCACGTAGTACGTCCCATCCTGCAAAGAGTCTATCAGCCTATTGGATTATTTTAGAAGCGAAAAATTTTCAACAAATGTCATTTATGCGCTTACTCATGCGCCTTTGTTTTCCCAAACTAACCAAATTTTCTCCTGTTAAACTCATACAACCATAACTATCAGGATCACATGAGATATTTTTCGGTTTACCACGGCATTGCGGAGCGGATGCTATGAGGAACACTCCACAGTAGTAGCAGAGTAATCCATAGCATAATGGCAGTGGTAAAAGTAATATCAGAAGTCGTTGTAACATCTGAAAAGAAAAATTAGAAGTCATAGAAGGAAAGTTAGTTACGTACAACCCAAAAAAGAGATTTTGAGGAACACGATATCGTAGAAAATCGAATTTTTATTTAAACGATCATAGCACGAAGTATGTCGAATAATTCATACCCATACATACCTCTAAGGTTACAATTATCATATCAGTGCGAGAGTTTTGCATAGAAATCTTGCATATTCCTACACACAGCTTCACCAAACAATTGCGCCAAGGAGAACTGACTGGACGCATAGCTACGACGGAAACGATATCCAGACAATGTGCATCGAGTTGGAGAGGGTCCATATAGAAAATCGTAACTCATGCAAAGCGATTGCCAGCGTCACCGTAAAGATTAGCCCCAGAAGAATTGTCTGAGAAATTTGAAAACAAGACTCACAGATGGAAATGAAGTGAAAACAGTAAGAAGCAATCTGTCTTCATGCTAGCAACCAAGATCATGTAGATCATAGAGGGTGGCTGTCTTCCACCACTCCTTGATATAATTTATCAGAGAAATTTCCATGAATCACAGACCGAGAACTCGTACCACAAAGAAAGGGAAGGGAGGAGAACTCTAGTCTTTTAGATTGCCAAGTCCACTTTCTCCTACATTACAGTGCAAAAAAGATGGCTATATCGTCAGAATGGTTTTCTTTTCCAAAGCCTGGCTTGTTATTTCGTTGGCAAGGACTACCTCTGGGCATTGTTGCGACAGTGTTAAACATTAAACATCTAAAGAGCCTACTGCTAGTCGTCATCAACGCGTTGGCTTTAGTTTTTCACACATCGTTAGTCAGAAAGTAAGAGTGGAAGTAAATAGATCCACAAAAACCCTACCGTTGTACAAAAAAGCCTACACGACATCAGCAGCTATCGCCCAATTGGTCTGGCTGTTTGACTTAAACAAGTTTCTTTCCTTCAAGTTATCATAGTTGGCAGATTATCGACCTTAAAAATAGTAATTTTCTTCGTATTTTTGTTGAGCAAACGCGAGGTGTTATTATTCTTTGTTCACGATTAAGCTGACGTTTCGGCGGATTTCGCCTTCCTCAGAGCCTGGAAAGGTGACAAAATAGTGACAAAAATTTCCGACAACGGCTCATTATATCTACACAAGTACTAATCCGAATAAGCTGAGAATGAAAGACGTGAAGAGCTCATAACAGCATTAAATATTTGTGAAAAGGATACGAATCATGTTCTCTTCATGTCCTTTTTTTCCCTCTAAGGCTACTTCCATTTTAAAACAAGTCCATGAAAGCACTATGGCAGGTACAAAAGACGAAAAAGAAGTTAAATTTACTGTTGTTAATGCTCGGAATATCGTAAACCATAGAAGGGTAGGGGATGGAACCTGAATTTTGCCTACGTCGACGCTCCGGGATCAATGAAGCTATCATATATGGGAAGATGTGTAAAATCAAGAAGAACATTTGGTGCGCTTCGACTAAATGCCTTACTGAATATGCATTGTAGAATGTTCCCAATACTGACATTAAGGAAACTACAAATGACAATGTCGAACAAAAAAGCATTCAACAGCACTTTAGTAGTGTCCTCTCAAATGACTCGATGATTAGAACTGGAATACAAGCGAGATACGTTAATTCTCAAATATTATGCAACATGTTCGTTTTGCTAAAAGTGCACACTAATATCCTTCTACTAAGATATTTCCAACGGTGGAGCTGGTCAGAATCACCGAAGAGAAGTTATTGACTGCCAACCATAAAATCTAATGTATCTTAAAAAATCAATAACAAATCATTTAATTAACCTCGAAAATATTGTTCTCATAGATACTTCACTGACAAAACAAAGCACATTCTGTTTAAGGATTTACACCTGAATATTTCGGTCTATGCTTTCTTGTTTGGTCATCAGCAAGAACGGTCATAACTAGATGTCATAGTTTAGGCTTTGAAAAAAGTTTTAACAGAAACTGAAGGCCGATTGTAATGGATTTCCCAAAGCAGTACATGTAGCCGGGTTCAAAAAAAAAGAAGAGAAGGTGAAATTCCAAGTATGAAAGTAAATGGTGCATATATCGAACAACAAATACGAAAAGGTTGGTATGACTAAGACTTGCATGAGCTCCTCATATAATCGATGAGGCACATGTTTTGTTTTTTGTGGACTGGCGTAGAAAGGCATCATAAACAAAGTGGCTCAGTGTTTTTCTCCACGAAAACATGAAAATACTCCAACAACTGGTGGCCAGCCATCTAAAAGAATAAGGTGCAATATAACAATGGGAAATAAGACTCATAAGTGATTGAGAAAAATTATTATGCGATACAAGTAATCGTTATAAGAGGAACAATCGCAAATCATGCATGAAGTGGCTAGGGGTGCTACGGAATGCACACAGGGCCATTTCTTTGACCCCGCTTGTGATCTGATAAAATCACTGGTTTGCTATGCTGGTTATGGCACATACGGCCCGCCATTACTAGTTGTGCGGGCCTCAGCATAATCACCGTTTTTTGGAGATTCGCTGGTTAAGCCATTGTCGTTTCCTGGAATCCCGAGGACAGCGTGACCAAAGTCTACCCCAGGTCGTCACCACGAACGACAGGTAGTCGCAGCCCTTGTAGATAAGAGGGAGATTTGCCACAATGCGACTTTGATACCAAGACGGTGGTGGATCCTGGTATTGGTTTACTCTTAGCTAAGCTTCATGATGGAAACGCCGGACTCCTTCTCAGCTTGCGAGACCCTGCCGGAGATACGAATCTCCCCTCTGTACATCGCAGTCCGACACCCAGGGAACAGCTCCCAGCGACGATGGGGCGGTAAACCGTTGGGAGGATGATGCCATTAATAGATTCAAATGCACTATGTGTCCTTGAAGGATAGATCAACGCCGAACGCTTGTTATTCTGCCTTTTATTGCTTTTCACTTATTATTACCTGCCGTTACTCTTCCTAGGGTGAGAACCAATAGGGTGTGATTGTTGGAAGTGTTACACTTTGACTGACCCATACCACCACACACCACCCATTTCACTGACCTATACTAGCCGATAACTCATATAGGAGTCAAATTATTTTTCTGACGAGTAACAGTCTCTGCGTAGCTCTTCTGCTTCAAAGGGCGTTTTGTCGCAGTGGGAAGCACAGATATTTCATTAACCTTCTCAAGTATGACTCTCTCTGTAACATTATAATCTGCTCGCCAGCAACACTCTTTGTGACCATGAAATAAATTGGTACGAATAAAACCACAAGAAAGCTTACATATGAGCAAGATTTGGAGCATCTGGGGGCTTCGAACTCACGATCACCCTTACCAGATGCTCTCGTGCTATCCGCCACAACAGCCGAGACCTTTGCTTTGTCTTTCTTTAAGCCAGCTTCTTTTTGCTGAAACATCGATAGAGTAAGAAAATTGGCTGAGAGAAAGGCAAAGCAAAGGCGTTGGTTGATATGCTGGGTAAAACGTGAGCCACTGGCAACAAAGGCAATCAATTGGTTCGAAGACTGCCTGACACTCCAAGTTTTGCTCATACCCCAGCATCCCTGTGATTATAGATCACATCATCACCCTCCCTGAGGAAAAAATAGGCGATAAAGAAAAGTTACTACACTTCGTCCACAAAAGCTCATTTTATATATTATTAAGTAAGAAAACAATAAGAGCATTGGTTCAATGCCTGGTAAACGTGTTCTTGTGGAATGTCTTATAGAATGAATACATGACGTCAAGATAAAGAATCTTTGTGCATCGAGATAAATGACCAAAATGAAATGAGCCTATACGAATTCACATAGGCTGAACTGCTTCCCACGCATCATTTTAATTTACTTCACGCTGGTATCCAACTCTTAAAGCACAGCTTTTTTGGAAGACAATTTTTTAGACGACAGATGCGGTTGTTAGAAAACAATTATTGCTTTCCTATTGAACATATCACTTAGGTGTTGCGCCTCAATGTCTTTATAACTGAGTAAATCGAACAACATTGAACTCCATCGCTCTCTGTTGCAGTCATGGGAAAACCGTCGATGTATTCGGTTCTAAGGGTTTATTCGACGAGGGCTAAGACCATCTTCCAGCCACGAAGAAGTTATAAACGGATAGAAAAAATCCTATAAACATGCCGAAAATTACAATTCTACTACTGGAGACAAGTGATAGGACAAGATTGTCCGACAATGGAGTAATACGAATATCACACCAGTCCCACTACCGACTTTCTTTTAACCTCGGCATTGACTGATAATTCGATGTTTTTCTTCAACAAGCAGACACGAGGCTGTTACTATAGAATTTATTAGGTTACAATAGCTGACGTTTCGGCGGTTTCACCTTCTTCAGAGCCTGGAAAGGTCAAATTGAGATGCGATCTACCCAGCCAAACACTTTTATAACCCCAGCAGATAAAACTTAACAAATAAATTTGTATTCGCATAAGAAACAGCTTCATTGAAACATCTACCGTTTATTCGTTGTAAGTATTTCAGTTAGTTGATGGACAGTAGCCGCACAGAGTAATACATGGACGATAAGTGTCTGTGCGTGTCAGGTCATTGGATTAGGCTGAGGTATGGCGCCAGGTCACGCGTGATGACAAGACACTCCTCCTTACGGTTCATTTTTGAATTTCTAGAATTGATCCAAAACGCTTCAAGAGTTTTACATACTGATGTTTTTGATTCACACGTGAGGACAGTGACCTACTTCAAGATCTTCTCCGTTGTGCTCCTGCATCCTATGCGCGCCTGGTGGAGTGTTTGGCTTTAATTTAGATTTACCGACTAGGTGTTCTTTCATGCGGACGTAGAGCGGTTAACCCGTTTCGCCAACGCATTCATCCCTGCAAGTTTTACAAGAGATCAGATATACTGTACTCGAACTCATGCAAATACCGTCTCTACCGTTAGGACAAATTATGCAGTTTTCCGTTATGCATAGACGGTTATATAGGCGGTTGCGAATAGCTGGCGTCTTAGAGTGTCCGATGGTAGTTCTATCACTCTTACGGAATTCTCTAGACCGGCCCTTATTA